ACCAGCAACGAGAAACCTGATCCTGGTCACGGCACCAAATCTGTAATACGCTGCTCTGCCCAGTGACAGTTGAAGTTGGCTATAATAGGGTTTAGGACCTTGCGTTGTGTACTTTTTTATGTGGTGATGGTAAAGTAGCCAACTTCCAAATAAGCTCTATGAATCAGGCCTCATTTCTGGTAAAGACATAACAAATAGAAAAGAGAAACTCAATAATGTATTTACAAAAACCTAAACCTATCCTAACCAAACAACATAACCTAATCTATACCTAACAATCTAACCTAACCCCAAACCATAACGAGACATGGCTCTGATTTCAGACCCTATATCCAAAACAAATAAATATCTTAATTTCCTATGTAACCAAAAAGCCTATATACTTGGTCTGGATTACCAGGACTCAAGCAACTGAAATACATGTCCTCACCTCTGGTGAACCAGTGGACTTAAGACAAGGAGTGCTGTGAAGCTACTCCCTTTATAGGGCTAGAGGCTGGCAGTGCATGTGCTGCACATGCCAGGCACAACCTGCTGGGTGTGTTGTGGCTATGCATATCAGCATAGCCGAGAACACACTAATAACCCATGTTATATTAACCCAACCCCATATAGAACTCAAACTTTACCCAAAATATCCTAAACTACCACAAATATAACACGAATCAGTGATTGAAGATTAAGATAGTGTAATCTTTAATTTCTGGGCTCTAGATAAAAAGCGGATAATGTAAAGTTAATTCATGTAAAGCCATTTATCAACGATTATTCAAACTTAGGCCACTTATGTGTATTTTTTTGGTATCATAGCCCGCATCCCCTTCAAGATAAACAGTTGGCTCTGCAATATATTAAGCTTTAAAACCCATGTATTTTTATTATTGGTTAAGGTTGTAAAATGGTCCCTGTTAAACATGTTTTTGAGTAAAGAGCATACAATTTCCCCAAAACAATCTGCATAATACATACCTTCAATATTTGTTTTATCCCAATCATTAAGGCACCACAGAGAGTAATAACACTGGATATATAATGTCTACAAATCCATACTGAAGTACACCAGTTCGTAACATATTTACTTTATCTTGTAAAAAAATAGTTCAGAGTATATCTACTAAACTTGTTTGTAATCTGATATGTAATTGTTTACATTGATAAGAGTGAAATATGTTATTTGCTGCAGCCTAAATCTGATTGCCACTACTGATGCCGAGAAAAGAGCATCAGCTGACAGAGAATTGATATGTACATGTATGACATAAATGCCTTAGTTCGATGTGATAAAGCCACATTTGTAGTAACTTGACTTTTTCATGTCAACATGTTTTTGTGTAAAGATTCAATGGTGAACAGTCAGATTGTTCTTTGCGTAAAAAGTAACCAACAAAAGCAGTGAGCTGTATTTAAGCCACTTACGGATATTACTCTAAATATCTATAGTAACCACCTGAACTAACAACAGAAGATATTACAAAATAATCATGCGGGTGAAATACTAGTTTCCGCAGTTTCTTCTGATCACTGCATCGAAAGTCTGTGAAGTTCTATTATTGGGTATTTTGTAACTGAACCACCAGAATATCACGGAGGAAATGTGTACCACAAGTTGCTATTTCCAGCTATAGTTTAAGGAAAAAACAACATGTGATGTTCTCGGGTTTTGAATATCATGGGTTCCCTGAGGAAGTACTCATCAGCTAAAGAACTTGAATGGGCTAAAGTCAACGTAGAACTAAAAACTATAAACCAGGGCCTAGATTTTTGAAGCTCTCTTAACGCTAAGATAGTCGTAAGTTAATGTTAATGTATGGCACTTACGACTATCTTAGCTTCGAAAATCTAGGCCCTGGTCAGGATTGAACTCTTTCTTTGTGGGCAACTTTAAAATAAGTAAGATTCTGTGATCTCATGTCTGTGTTTCTGCCATCTGCTAAAGAGTCAAGAACGGGTTCCATCAATTGGTTCATGTGAACATGGATGCTCTTTTGAAACACAGTGCTTCTTAACCACCTGTAACCTTACACCATATGTATTTGTGGACTGTGGGGATAACTTCATGCATGACATATAGCTCACAGGACTAAACAATGTTAAAAGTACATAAAGAAAACATAATTTTTCATGTAAAACATCATATTTTAATCTTCAATCATTTCCATAGAACACACACCAAATCTTGTAAATGGAAACATTTCGTATCAGAATATGTCACAAATTTGTTGAAGAGTCATCTCGTTAGAATGAATACCGTAAGTCTGTATCTAGGTTTTTTTAGAGTACATGTCTTCTATAACGTTCTCCTCTGAACCTACCTGTGGAAATGTATAAAGAAAGTAGTTAGGATTTCCATATGTTAACACCAAAGTGTTATATCAAACTACTCACTCCCTCCCTCAGAAAACTAAGACACTGTGATATAGCAAAGCGATGTTATAGGCTCTATATCACACCACACTTCTCTAAAAATAAATAATGCACTTCTCTCAATAATACTATCAGCCCTCAGGGATGCTACCATATAATTTATTCCCCACCAAAATAGTATGCCTTTAGATAACAATTTTAATTTAAAAAGTTCGAATGAATTAATGCAACGTTGCATGTGCGACAACTTTCTATGTACAGAGCAAACGTTTACATTGCATATATGGCAATTGTTCTGTTTGGAAGCTGTTCACCTCGAAGTTTCAATTATCTATTTCAGGCAAGTCGGATAATAAGTCTTTTATTGCATCAATAGGAAGCTATATACATTGTATAACATTGGCCAAAATATTGTCGAAAATGTGTGAAATTGTGCCTTTAATAATCTCCTTTCTCGCTCTTAAATTTGAAGCCAACATTTACTTTTCAGAAACCTGAAGGACATAATCCAAACCACAAGTCCCAATGACTTTGATATAAACTGAAAGTGAACCACACAGCTTTAAAGGGCAAGTGTACACGAATAAATCACATTTATTCTTATGTGAATCAAAGTGAACTGTTTTAATAAGTTAATACCAATGTTTGAAAATATACACTCATTTTTCTTACAACGTAAGTATAACCCTCAAAATAAGTGCTGAAATGTTATGCCAATATGAGGTATTTTTTTGCCGAGCTAAACAGGCCAGAGTTACCGCCCTTTGATTATGACGTAATTGGTGCCACTTGAATTAAAACTGGTTTCCTGTCTAGTCCCAAATCAAAAGATAATAATACTGATATTAATCACGTGAAAAAAAGTTCGTGAAAAACGAAGAAGCATAAGAACAGAAAATGTAAGCAGCAGGACGGATTGGTCGCAGGTGTATTTTCATTCATAACCTCGCCTCAATGAAAATACCAAATATGTATAACAATGTTGACGTCCCAGATGACATCACTATCGGGAAGCGACTTTTGCAAAATGGCGGTTCACTGACACGAAGTTTTCGAAGGACCTTTTCGTTGTTTCAAGCAACGATATGCATAAATGTGACATGTAAGTAGTCCTAAACTTCTGACAGTCTGCTGGTTGTTATTTTCTTTTTGTTTTCATTGTGACCAAGGAAATAGTCAGAAATTAAGAGAAGTACCGGCCATCAAGCAGCGAGTTTGCGCCAGTTATGGCGCCATGCTTTCAAAAAATATTAATATGTTTTGATGAATCTAGAAAATCATTGGCATACACCTATTTTATTTAACTATCGCTTTACGATACCTTTCCCATGCATGTTCTAAAACTAATGAGCAATTGTATGCAACAAGTAGGCTTAACGGATACACAGTGTAAAATCTGAGATTGGCTTTGTATACATTTCAAACAAGTATTCTTTCACACAGCCGCAACTCATATCTTCGATATATTTCGTTAGATTTCACTGAAACACTTCGTATTGGTGACAAAGTCCATTTGTCAGTTTATTTTGAACTGTATGAGGAATTCAGGGATTCATGTAAGGAAGATGGTGTTGAATTTTACGGATCTAAACATAACCGACATACATGTGACGCGGATTTTATAAACACTATGTAATATGGCTGAAACTTCACTTTGACGCTTATGTATTTTCCAAAACATTCTCAGCGCATTCTCGGTTCATTGATAATGTTTCAGAACGAGCATTGGTGATTCGATCATACAACAACAAAACTACTGCTGATCACAATGATACATCTTTTTCTTTTAAATTCAATTCTCCCAGTAAAATTTGACATTTTACCATAAATTACGCAAAACGCAGTGAATGGTGATTTAGTAATGTGTAAAACTGGCGAGATTTACGATGCATGAAATTTTCAGTAAATTTTATCTACAATCAGCGGATGCTATCTTAGAAAAAAACTAATTTCAAACAGTGTTCAAAACTGCAAATTGCATTTATCTGCGTGATGTAGAGTACTATCGATATAAAAAGTGAATTAGGTGGAAGAGGAGTGACATATCGTGCGATTTATGTAAGAACTTTAGTAACAAACGAATTTCGCATATTCACCGATGGCAAGCAAGATGTAGTGCATCTACGCTTTATAGGTTTCATGAAAAAAAAAGGTACTGTTGGAAAGACGATCGACTCAGGTTGTATATGTTATACAATTTGGTTACGCGGGTAACACTCTTAGTACAATGTATACGCTTTTTCAAACTGCAACGCCATTACAGTGTAGAACTGATCACATAGCAAGCTGACGCCAAGCAACAGGTGGATTAAAACAGTAGCCTGCGCGATCGAGACACAAGAACCACACCTATACCTGCACCACGTGAAATGGGTCTAATAAGGTCTGACGACGCCATTCGCTTATCGTTTGGGCACCAATGACGTCATTTCCAAGGGACATAAGCCATGGTGTGTTTATTGTGGACATAGAACTCTTGGTAAATGTTGAAAATATGAATTGATATAACGCAAATAATAAATTAGTTACTTCTGATTTATGTACGGGTTTGGATATAAAACGACTTGATAAACACTTTTTTATGAAGAAAACGTGCAAGACAAAAAGGTTAATTTTCGTGTACACTTGCCCTTTAAGGTTTTAATGCTGGAAGGATTTACTTCTTAAACCGGAAGTGAGACAACACAAAACATGGAAGTATGAATTGTTTTCTTACATTCTGAATCTGAACTATGAAACAATCTAAGCACAGGTTCCAATAACATTAGTATCTTCTTCAGAGTCCAGTGATTCAGTTCTCTAAACTAAAGGGGCCACTTCGTTTACTTTTTCGGGTTTGAAGTGCAATGGCAGAACATGTCAGTAAATGACCAGATATATTTATACCTTGCTGATTTCTTTTCTGATTATATGAATGGGAGACGATTAACCTAATTTAAGATTAACAATGATAATGTAAGGAGCCCTATGTTACTGCTTACAGCTATATTCGTAAGAACCATTTTTGTCAGAAAATGATCGCCTGATCCAATTTAGCTCATTTCTTACAAAGGTTACCAAACAGAGCTTCGATATCCACAGTCCAGAATCAACTTAAGAAAATCTTTACAGCATCTTGGTTCTGCAGACAAACATACATTTGACTGCGCCCATCTACATCCACTCCCAGAGGTTTCTCTATACCATCTTCAGATGTCAGTATGTCTCGCACAAACTCTCCTGACTCGGTCAGATGGATGACTTTGTTAAGAGAGAAGTCTGTCACCAGGATGTCACCCTTGCAGGTGCTTGTGATACCCTGAGGACACTTAAGTGCTTTTTCTCCAGCCGGTTTGTAATGGAACACTATCTCACCCTCGGGGGTCAGACACACGACACATCTTGTTGCCCCATCAGACACCAGGATGTTTCCCTTCCTGGTGGTACACAGGTAGTTGGGACACTGTAATATGCTTTTACCACACAGGTCTGGACTGATGGAGTGCAGCACGGTTCCTGTCAGATCAAGGATGTCAACACAGGGAGGAGATTTGGAACCTGCAGCCAGTAATGAGGGGTTCAGACATGTTATACCCCAGTACTGTTTACTGGTTTGGATGGTTGACAGCAGTTCCAGGTCAGGACCGACTTTCACCGTTATAATCTGTTTCACACATGGCACAGTGACAGCTAGGGGATTGTGTGTCATCTTCGTCAGACTCCATGGCGCACTGCTCAGAATCAGCCTGTTGTGACAAAGCTGCTTGTTCTTAAAGTAGAAGGAATTCAGATTGCTGTTGTTCCGGTCAGTGACTACAATTGTATCAACACCATCCACCACTATCACTGTCACATCAGCAATCCATCCTTTACCCCTATTTTCAGGTATTCGGACATCGATGGTGTCTTGTAACACAGGGTGAGCTGTCAGATCCACAACACCGTCATAGAAGACGTCAAACTCGCCTAACTCTAGATGCTCCAGTGCTTTACTCAGCTTTTCATTGTCTTGTAGGAAAGTGACTCTGCCTATTCTTCCTTTCTCCGACATTGGAAACATGTCTCCCACAGTCTCCACATCGCCTGCTTCACAACCCTCATACATCATATACACACTCTTGTCATCCTCAGAGCGCAATGCCTCATCAATCAGTTCCGCCTCTTCTTGGCACATCTGGGCTGACAACTCTCTCGACTTTATATGTGCTTTCAGTGGTCCAATGTGACTGTCTGATATCTCTTTCAGATCATCCAGAAGTTTTCTTTCCTTCACCTTGATCTCTTCAATGACTTCCAGTGTTAAAGACATAATGTTTTCTTCCATTTGTTTGTATCGAGACGTTTGAATATTTAGTGTTGATTTCAGTTCATTAGTTTTGGATATCATGTCTTCTTGCTTCTTTGATAACGTCTTTTGCTTCTTCTTAAGTTCTGTTCTCATGGTCCCGATCTGTGAATTGATCTCGACAACTGAATCACATGTTCTGTGGTATAAGGTACATTTGTCACATATCGTCTTCTTGCAATTTTTACACAGAAACTCTATGCATTCCTGCGGATGTACATTACACATTGCTTTTGGTCTATTAACCTTGACCTCTGTACACAGGTCAGTGACCTGATGGATGCGACTGTGGTCGGCGACACATTTCTCACACAGTGTTTCATCACAGACTGAGCACTTGACAGTAGATGGAGTTGTCTCCCCTCTCTCTTTGCAGTACACACACGAGGTTGTATCTGGAAAACATTGACAGAATTATGAACTTTCATATCTAAACGCAAATCGAACAAAGTTACACCAAAATCCTGAGTAGAGTCAGTAAAAGATATATTTATGCCTAAACATAACCTTGATTATTGAACATCACTGCAAGAATAAAACCAAGGTGTTTAGTGAGTGAGTGAAGATGGTTTTACGCTGCTTTTAGCAATATGCCAGGGACACCAGAAATGGGCCTCACACATTGTACCCATGTGGGGAATCGAACCAGGGTCTTCGGCATGACTAGTGAACGCTTTAACCACTAGGCTACCCCACCGCTCCCAAGGTGTTTAGCATGTGACTTCACAGTGACAAAATAATTGTTCACATTTACAATTTACATGTTTGAGAGCTATTTGTGTTGTGTCATTCTCATGCTTCCAGTGGGAATTTATGTACATGTCTACTGTGCACTGGTGAATCTCACCTCCATATATAATATATTATACAGGGATCAAAATAGTGCATGGCATGGTAAATATTGAAATGACATGGATGAAATATTTTAAGTGTGCCCTGGTGGCACAACTAAAAGTAGTCAATTAATATTAAACATGATTCAATTGATGGAAAATGTGATAAATTTGACCAACTGAAATGATTCAAAACCTATTTTTGCACCGCATCAAACTGTTCATCAGAGGCTCTCTCTATCCCAAAGCGTAACATAGGCGTTGCCACTTTGAATGCCAGTGGGCATAACAGGAAATTTCATTTTGAATGATAACACTGTTTGTGGGCTAGTGTAAGGACCCAGGACAAATGAATCTGAATTATTCTTGCAGTCTTGATAGTGTTTAAGACATTCTGCTCTCAAATTTACAGGTTTACATTATGTTTACTGGTTTATTGAACAAAACATTGAAAGGTTGTAATTGTTGTGATGTCTTAAGTTTAATTGGATCATCAAAAGGTATTATCTGTATTACCTTACCTATAAATTATCTGTCAGATAATCTAGGTGTGCCTTCTTGAAACAAGCATGACCATAAGATAATTACAAGTGCCTTTGTGAAACAAGCATGACCATAAGATAATTACAAGTGCCTTTGTGAAACAAGCATGACCATAAGATAATTACAAGTGCCTTTGTGAAACAAGCATGACCATAAGATAATTACAAGTGCCTTCGTGAAACAAGCATGACCATAAGATAATTACAAGTGCCTTCGTGAAACAAGCATGACCATAAGATAAGTACAAGTGCCTTTCTGAAACAAGCATGACCATAAGATAAGTACAAGTGCCTTTGTGAAACAAGCATGACCATAAGATAAGTACAAGTGCCTTTGTGAAACAAGCATGACCATAAGATAAGTACAAGTGCCTTTGTGAAACAAGCATGACCATAAGATAAGTACAAGTGCCTTTGTGAAACAAGCATGACCATAAGATAATTACAAGTGCCTTTGTGAAACAAGCATGACCATAAGATAATTACAAGTGCCTTTGTGAAACAAGCATGACCATAAGATAATTACAAGTGCCTTTGTGAAACAAGCATGACCATAAGATAAGTACAAGTGCCTTTGTGGAAACAAGCATGACCATAAGATAAGTACAAGTGCCTTTGTGAAACAAGCATGACCATAAGATAATTACAAGTGCCTTTGTGAAACAAGCATGACCATAAGATAATTACAAGTGCCTTTGTGAAACAAGCATGACCATAAGATAATCTAGGTGTGCCTTTGTGAAACAAGCATGACCATAAGATAATTACAAGTGCCTTTGTGAAACAAGCATGACCATAAGATAATTACAAGTGCCTTTGTGAAACAAGCATGACCATAAGATAATTACAAGTGCCTTTGTGAAACAAGCATGACCATAAGATAATTACAAGTGCCTTTGTGAAACAAGCATGACCATAAGATAATTACAAGTGCCTTTGTGAAAACAAGCATGACCATACCTCTTGTTGATCCAAATTAAACTGAAGACATCACAATTACATCTGTCCTTAAATTGTATTTCTATCCTGGTTATGGATACCTATATACAATAACAGTTAGTGAGTCAGGTTTTGCTTGCATCCAGGATTATAACAGATATGGGCTTCACACATTGTAGCCATGTGGGAATCGAACCATAGCCTTCAGCTTAATGAGCAGACACTAACCACTAGGCTACCCAACCACCCTTATACAATAATAAGGTAATGGGACTGCACACTGACATACAATAAAAGACAATATTTACCCGTAGAATCTGGACCAAAAGAGTCCCCGGAAGTCCTTGTATGACAATGCTTGGCTTGACATCTTCTGCAAATTCCTCAAATGAGCCCGCAGTTTCAGGCACTTTTGTCATCTTGTTGCAGAAAGGGCAGATGAGAGACTTGGCACTGATAGCTTCTGGTCTGGTCTGGGTGTAATTTACAACACAATTACGACAGAATGTATGATTACACCCAAGTGTACAGGGATTGATGAACACTTCTGTACACATTGTACACTTCAGGACGTGTTCTGGCTGGTCCTTGGAGGTCGCCACCTGGAAGGAGGCAGTGAGTTGGGAATAATGACAAGTTTTAGGAATACTTTTGACACTGTAAATATTTCATCATGTATTTTTATATTTTTGCATGAAAACAAATACTAAAAATGTGAAAGAATAAAAAACCCTGACAAAAGCTTCAGCAGTGGTCTTTTAAAACACAGGAAGGGGGTACAATAGAGGTGAAACGGTATACCACGGTATTATGATCAGTAGAACTGCGGTATTTTGCCTTTGGTTCGGGATACCGTAATGCAATCCAAACATTTGGTATTTTCGGTTTTCGTAAATTCATTCTAGCTAGTCATAAAATGACAGTTTTGTTCATTCAATATAAAAGAGATTATGGTTATTTTTTCCCCTTGTTATTAACAATGTAAGGTTTGGCTTATGTTGTCCATTTTCCGCATTATGTTCATATCTCATATACCCAATAGACCGATCCAGTCTGTCAATCAAAACTGGCGCATGCGTCAATTTTGGCCAATAAGCAGGGCGGGCGCGCTTTGTGGATTTGTCAGACTTATTTCCGGGGTCAAACGATGCCTCGGAAGCGATGTGCTTCGTATTATGCCATTCACACTCGCTATATCTGTTACATATTCCTGCGATTTCATGTGTACCTTTAACAGAACCATTACGGTCAAGACAAAAGATTTGAGGCGGATCAAGGAGCTCGATATGCCTCACGATCAATGAAATGTCTGCACCATCGTTCACGAAACCTACGTCTGCTTGAGGGTGAGAATTTGCACGAACTTACACACGTTTGCACATGTGCAAAATCATTACCAATTGATGACAACAAATAGCAGTTTAAGACTTTGCAAGTGTTATAAACATGGGAAATTATTGTAACTACAAAATTGTTTTTGCTTAACTTGTTTTGTCAATACTGGGCATTGAGTTGGTACACCATAAAGCTGAAATGAGACAGGCGAGAAAGCCGTGACACAATGTAAACAAATCTGACAGCGATCTGATTTCGGTTACGGTCGATTGAAATAGCAGAACGTTTTACATTAAAGAACAATGTTGTGGATGTTGTTACCATCGCCCTTAGATATTCTTAAATTTGTCACACATTATAGGATGTTATTAAGTTTCGAAAACACAATCTGAAAGCCTACAGTACAGTATATGTTATTAGTGCAAAATATTCAATGAATAATATGTTTTTTATTCAAACGGAAAAATAGTCAGTGTCAGCAGTTGCCTATCACGCAACATCCAAATAACAAAATTAATTCAAATGAGTGTCTATAAAACCATGCCATAAATATTTCAGAATTTCTATAAAGAGATGGAACCTTGAATTGAATTACGTTACTCCATATGGATCAGAGACGAAAACTATGTGAGAAGAAAAGTGACTTTCTGGAATATTGGACTGAGTGAAATAAGTGTATTTCTTGACTATGAGAACATTATTTCTTTTGAATTTTTGTTACAACATAATTTTTTTAACATGTAGGGGAGGCGCACTGGTACATTTTAGGAGTAATAACATAACTGTCATTTTATTTAGAATTCACTGGAAATGATAGCAAGGTATGTTTTCAGAATCTTGCGTCCTTAAGTAAACGTGGAAAGGTAATAAAATTAATAATAACATAATTAATTATAAATAACTACTTAATTGACTGACATATCAGTTTCATGTGAATTTAAGGCAGAGCTAGGCAAACAAACACTAAATACGTACCCTGGCAGAACAATCACTTGCTACTAATTAACTTAGTTTGTTGGCTCCTGCTGTAAGATATCTTTGGATTTTTTAAATAAGATATTTACTAAAAGGATTATTCTGAAAATGATTACTAGTATCAAGCTCATGATAATAAATTTCAACATCCAGAAAATTTGAAAAAAAATAAAGGTCACACCCTGGTCAGGCATTATTCAGTCTTTACAGAATAACTTACAAAATTTTCAGTTGACTAGTCATGCAACTGGAATGAATATTGAAACATATATTTATCCCAGATTTGATGTAAAACTTCTTAGAAATCATCAGCTTTTGAGGAGGTTACCATTATTTGAAGACATTTGAGCCAAAGTAGTGTTTATTAAGATATTGGTTTTGGACAAATTGTTCAAGGTTTGTTGATGGTTATTTGGAAAATGAGCTTCATATTAAATTGCACACTGGTTTGAAGGAGTTGAAAGCTTCAGGACATTTTCATGTGTGTTTTCCTAAACTTTTATTTTGTTACCAATTTAGAAACAACTTAAATATATTTTTGATGACACTAGTAAGTATCTCAGAAAAGGAAATATATCAAAATTAGTGTTATGTCCCTTAGGGATATGGTCTCAGTTCTAATAAAACAAAGATTATCATTGTTTAAGAAGCAATAATGACAATATGTAATTATATTGACGAAAAGCTTTGAACTTAGGATATATTTTTTACACCTTATTTAAAATAGTAGTTAGCAGTTAAATATCTATGAAGAAAAAGCAGTACGGTATATTTGTATTTTGTGTAACATTCTATTTCAATGCTAGTTAATTGTTTGGATAACTGTGGTTCCCCTGCTCAAAGATTTTGCATCACAGGTTTCCTATGTCTGGAAGATGGGTCAGTGTACAGGTGAAGACTTGGATCTTCTTTGTGTTATTGTGGTGTGACATAACTGTATGTAAATGCTGGCACTTCATGAAGCCCGGTATTGTGGAAGTTTGTAAATTATGATACCAAAACAAAGTACACATAGAAAAATATATTGGTAAGGATGATTTAAAAATGGATTTCCTTATATTCAGTGTCATTTTAGGATGGTGTACAGATTTTGAAGAGAGAAATTATACTGAGAATTAGCAGATTAGCTGCTGAATATTTGCTTCTGGGAATGTCCAGATACATCCATGCAAACATACTGTTTACAAGCCCAATAACTTTTTTCCAGATTCCCAAATAAGATCAAATAGGATATCCAGTGATTTATTTGTTTACAAATATAGACAAATAAGGTGGACGAATTAGTAGACGGGACACATTTTTCTGCTTAGTTCATTAAAAGGTAGAAACCCATGTTTTCACATTATTGATTTAACTAAATTTGAACAAAGTATAAATAAATATACGCCAAGCCAAGCGCAGTTTTGACAATCTATTTATAGATACCGAAACGATCTCCAACTTGAACATGTGGCTGTGTTCACGGTTTTTGAAATATTACGATGAGAATTTTTGAAAAAAACAAAACAACATAATTCTGTTACCCTTTCCCTGCTAATATCTTAGACGGATGTGAATTGCCAAATATGTGATTTGGTTCGAAAGGAAACACGTTCCACACTCAGCAGCTGGCCGAGACGATTTTTCATCGAGCATGCAACTCATTTTCACTCGCCAATTACAATCTGTCAACTAAAATGTATTAAAAATAAAGTACGTATAACTTTCCTCTTTAAATATCATTCACAAACGACGGATACCAACGTACTACAAACAATTCATCAACAACGTTCACAATCACGTACGTTTTGCCGGCGGTGACGCCATTGTGATTAGTCCGTGGTTGTCCCCCCTAACGTCAAAAACGAAGTGGGCGGGGCTTATCGTCCGGGACTGGATCGGTCTATTGAAAGGGACCGAATTGAAGGCCTTGTACCGTAATATGTACCGTGGTAAGAGCATACCATTTCAGCCCTAGGGAACAACCCCTTATCTATGCAACCAGCAATTGTCTTTCTTACTGTTTTCATTACAAAAATGGAGCTTCTAAAGCTGACCAATTTCTTGCAAAAGATTCCTATGCTATGAATGAAACAAAACATCTGAAGTTCCCATGTATAATTCATTTACTCCCATAAATTAAACTCAAAGCATAATATATCGTCAAGTCACACAAGTTCGATAGTCATGTAACTTCGATCGCCCATTTTGATTGGTAATTGTCGCAATACATAGCGATGACTTACGATATCTGCAGCTTTGATCTTCTGGTGACACCACTTTCATTCGTTTGGACCGGAAAATGTTTCGTGTCAAGTTACCTAATGTAAGTTATAGCTCATTTTCAGCAAACAACTGCTTTTTAACCCTAGATCAATAATGTAACTTTATCAGCTCAAATAAAATGTAAACAGTATAAATTTTACATGTTGTAAATTGACAGCACCCCTGTCTTCTGTTTGTTTACGTTGCTGGTCTAATTGTGACATGTCCAGACACGTGATATCCTTGTCAAAATTTAAAACTTTGGAAACAAGTAAGGGCCATTTCTTATAGAAAACTTAATGCTTTTTGAGAATTTCCGTGAATTTGTACCTGATGAAGTTCGAGCTATTGCCTCATTGATAAATACAACCTGGGCACAATGTTCCAACCCTACATGTCAGCACAGAACACATTTACGTTTCTGCAAGCCAGTTCGTGGTGTTTGTCTACATTCTGAGGTTTGATGCCCGTCATGATGAGCCTGAAGAATAATTCCCTGCATAATACTTGTATATAAGCTGAATATTTGTGACATTTCATCGTTTTCAAAAGCACTGAAACATAAAATGAACGTTTCATGGACATAAATACCATAAAATTACTTGGGACTGCTCTAGCTTTGAATTTGACACAAGAGATCGTCCATACAAGTCATCCTGTTTATGCGACAAGCCAGCCAATCATATGATCGAACTTATGTGACGTAGTTTTCTGGGTCACTTGTGTTGACAGTGAGAGGGCGGCCATGCCGCGATTGTGAAAAGCAGTAAAAATACCTGGATTTTGGAAATGTTTGACATAAATAAACAAGTTTAGAGGTAAGAGATTTGAAAATAAGATTATATGAATATAACTTTGAAAATTCAGCGACAGTTCTTAAGTGATCGAACTTACATGACACAAGGATATAAATATATTTAGCAAACAAATATTAGAGTCAGTACTCCGAATACCGTACAGGCTCCTAAGTTCCGTACACTTTGATTTGTGCGCAATAGCTTATTATGTTTGCGTGTGGCATCGCCTTACCGTTGTCTCTTGAAATGAGGTAATTCCCAACTCTATTTTTAGCTATCGTGTGTATTTGTCATGCGCTTTCTCTTCGAGATACGATTGGTTATCACGTTGTGCACTTGCGCAATAGCCACTCTCTCCACTTCTTGCCGGGTTGACGTCAAGGTCACTATCCGAGACTCTCTACGCGCTACACCTAAAAGCGTGAAATTTAAACATCACTCACGGCACGAAAACCTGAAATAATGTATTTGAGCTGTCCAAAAATGTAATCTTCAAACACAGTGACCGGTTTCGCACAGGTTACTTTTAAAAGTAACACATAATGAGGCGTACGATATTTGATGCCCAAATTATTATATTTTTGGGACACCTGCAGTTTATGGGTCCCTAGACCCGGAAGTAGAAATGTATTCTTTATAGCTCGCGCTTTGCGCGAGCACGCGCCGAAGGCGCATTTGCTGCCTTTGGCAGTAAGTGACGCGCACAGCGCGTCATATATATAGAGAAGCACGCGAGAGCGGGCTGATCTCCATTAGGAGACATTTTAGACGAAATTAGAGGTCATTTTCGTTGTTCACTGGCAAAGTTTACTTTAAACCATCGCCTAAAAGACTATAGTTTTAAACACACTGTAATTTTAGTAATGCTCCAAAACATCAATCCAATCGCTTAGTAATCAAGGGAAATCCCGATGACGTTCCTTTTATTTGATTGGTCAATTGTGGACGACGCGTGTCTAATGTTCCAAATAAGGTAGTGGGTTACTAACGACTGCCACAACTTTAACGCGACGGGTTGGTGAGTTGTATTTTTAGCTTGTCGCCCTGATTTCAATCTTGTTTATTTGACTTGCTTAGCTATGGCTGTAAGGAGAATGGTGTATGATGATTTGTATGAGCTGTGTAGAGATGAGAGAAAGTTGATGGATTGGTTGGAAGCCGCTTTGGTTTGATTGGAAATTTCAGTGGGAAGTGTGTGAAGTGTGACAGTGGGAGTATAGGAAAGCGAAAGGATTCGAAATGGAGTGAGGGTTATGTGTGGCGTTGTTCAAATAAAATATGCAATCATAAAATTGTAGCAAGGCGTGATTCTTGGTTTTTTAAGTCTCATTTGTCCGTTAGTGAAATTATGAAATTGACATTTTATTGGGTTTATCAAGTGAGAGAGAATTTTGTGAGAGTGCAGTTACGTCTGGGGTCTGACCACACTTTGGTTGATTGGTTTAATTATTGTAGAGATGTGTGTTTGTTTGTGATGGAAGAGGAGAATGAGATGATAGGTGGGCCAGGGATTGAAGTTGAGATTGATGAGAGTAAGTTTGGGAAGCGTAAGTTTCACCGAGGAAGGCGAAAGATGATGGTGTGTGGGTGTTTGGGGGTATCGAAAAGAAAGTAACCGGATGTTTTTGGAAGTTGTGGAGAAGCGCGATGCAGATACCCTTTTGAGTGTGCTGAGAAAGTGGAGTGCGACCGGGATCGATTATTCATTCTGATTGTTGGAAGGCGATGCTAGGCTGAATGAGATGGGATACGAGAGCATGTGACAGTGAATCATAGTAAGGAATTTGTGAATGCAGAGAATGGTGCGTGCACTAACAAAATTGAGAGTGCGTGGAGAGCGGTGAAAGCGCCCCTGCCCAGGTATGGGAACTCTGACGAAAGGATTGTATGATAGTTATTTTGTTGAGTACATTGTGAGGAAGAAATATTTACGCTTGTTCTGATGATCCTTTCGTTACATTTCTTACTTTTATCCGCCGTGTATTTGACCCCAAAAAAACCATCAATATTTTAAAATAGTTGAAACTGGAAATAAAGAAAATGACATCCCCAAAATGAAAGCTCACATGATGTACCCGATGTATTTAATTCAAGTGCAGATTTGTTCTTGTGAGGTAAGTCAATTCAATTGAGGCTAGATTTGTTCTTGTAATATTATAAGGTAAGTGAAGCGTTTCGATATTTGTTATCACGCTGTGCTACATCATGTTAACTTACCTGTTTTGTTTATTGTATCGATTAGTATCCAAGGGTAATTGAATGGACCAAAACAGCGATGTTGTTATTCGCTGGAGCAAACAAAAAATGGCGTCAGCGTTAGTGCTCGCTTCGATGTAAATATGGCTTCTGCGCATGTCTGTAGCTTAACTTCCGGGAACCCGTAAAGTGCAGTCTACCCTATTTTTTTGCTATGCTCCTTATTTCGTACAGTGACATTTTATTTTTCACCATGTCATATTTACTCATATGAAACATTTGCATAGGCACTGATAAACAGTGAATATTACATATAGACATATAATAGAATAATATAAGTGTATATGACCGTTGTTGAAGTCCATTTCTTACTTATTGTAAGAAAAGTATTTATGGTTGATATTATATTGGAAGAAATAGCGTACGGTATTAAAGTCCCTCTGTACGAATTTAAATGACCAAGGGTAGCTTCCTTTGACTAAACACATGGTTAAACGGAAAATTTGTGTAGGAAGCGATTCAAGGGATACCGGTGGCCAAACGTGTACGGTATTCGGAGTACTGACTCTATAAACATCACTGGGCATAGCAATGCATATACAAATTACAGGCCCCTGAAAGGAGCTTAGGCACGCTGGAGGATCCAGCAACAATCTGTTGTCACTGGACATTGTTTCATAGAAAGTTTCACAAACTACGTCATAAGGTATTGTTCCGTGTTTGTCGAGTTTGTGGTGCTTAATTCTAAAGATTGACCGTATTGCAAATTGTAAATACTTTCGTGCAGCGACAGCATTTTCTACCAGTGAGATATGGACCGCTGGCCATTAAACTGTGTGTCCAAACAGAGGGATAGATACACCTGAGCCTGAAGAGGGACCAAGGACGGAGAATGGTCATTTATGATCATGATGATTAACCTACCTCATTTGACAATGACACCATCTTGGACGAGAGCGGATGACTGGAACTGTCTTCTCGAGGTTCCTGGTCATCATCATGCTTGACCTGCTTCCTTCCTGCCCTCATGGATGTCTTATTTCTCCTTTTGTTGGTCATGCTGCCCTGTTACGTCGCAATTAATCTGTTCTGCAAGCGAGAATGCAAGACGTGTCGTCCGCAGTGTCCCCGAACCGGAAGGAACGCTAATCATATTTTACGGAAGTGCCAACGATGAGTTGTCTCCCTTTAAAATAGCTTTGTAAAAATGAATTTTACCTTCGGTGAAAACGAAAGCAGAAGTAGTACGAAATTTGTAAGAAAAAACTCGCGATTTGGGATATTCCAGAGCATCTCATATATGTAACCCAAATAATGTGTTTTTTTGTGGCGACCTGATTCGAACAGATGGTCTCTGATTCGGTGGGGGAAAAAAAGTCCTCGGAAAAAATGTACCGTACAAAAGTCCTAAATTTGCCTAAGAAAAAAGTCCTCCGAAAAAAAGTACTATATTGAAAAAGGAATTTTTGACAAAAGAATAAAAAGTATTTTTTAGTTTTCATATAGCGTTTATTGACTTTTCATGTATCATTTGGAGAGTGGTTATATGGTTTGCTCAGCTCTGGATTTCCATTTTCAATGTTCGTCAACATTTGGCCCTGGCAGTTCATACTGGGCTCATGGCTACATTTCCAAACAATCTTGGCTTTTCGACTTGCGCGTTTGGTGTACATATACCCATCCAAGACTAGCTTCAAACCACCCTTGTTGGTCTGAATAACTTCCATGGTGGAATCGTTACTGATGTTGTACTGAGATACATATTCATACTTTACACTACAAACTGAAACCAGTCTAGTTAATCTTCTTACTCTAATCAATTAGAAGAAACACTGGCTTACAATGTAATCAACTAAAATCACAACATATACAGTGAACAAAAACACGCTTGGACAGATTGTTTTAAAGATCAATTTGAATATCTAATCTGTCCGTTATAATGTAAGTACTTCATGTTTCTAAATGTCATTTAAAGATCAAAGACCTTTCTAAATATTTAATACGACCTTTTAATCACCCTTTGCATGTGAGTACTTCATGTTTTTTGATAAGTGTCACTAAAAGATAAAAGATAAATTTATCTATTTAATAACCCATTTTATGTGTGAGTTATCAATGTTTTTCTAAAATCTTTGACATCAAAGTTGATGAATAAATAGGTTTTTATTACAATAGGACTTTTTTTCCGGAGTACTTTTTCCAGTACCTTTTTTACCGAGGACATTTTTCCTACAATCTCTGATTCTGCCCACAAGGGTCTGTAACGCTGAAAACTGCAATCAAGGTATATACAAGGGGTCCTAGCACTATATAAAGGGATCCGTTTATATATGGTGCTAAGACCTGGTTAGTGACAGTATATACCTTGATGGCAGTTTTTAGCGTTACAAGCCTCTGTGCTCGTTGCTTCGAATATTTTCACGTTACTTCAAGTTTTTGAAAGCAAGCTGAAGGAACGAAAAAACACACGAAGCAGCGAGAAATTAATCGAAGCAACGAAAATATAATTGAAGTAACGAGGAAATACTCGAAGCAACGAGAACATTAATTATTGAAATAACGAGAAAATACTCAAAGCAACGAGAATTGTCGGGATCTGCAGCCTCATGTTATGGCAACAGTTATTGCATCTGCAGCCACATGGCAGTAGATATATCATATCACCATTGTGTTGCACATTTTACTGTCATCCTACCAAGCGGTGCAACTGTGGCACTTCTCGTCAGTTACTGTGTATATTGTATGAGATAATCCGTGTCAGGTGATCTAGGCCCCCAGGGTAATGGTGTCTTGAATTTATAAAATTCTGCTGCAAAACATAAATGTATTTAAATTGAAAAAGAGACCCGGTGGATTCAGAGACCTGAGGAAATGTAGACTTGCTTCTTCTAGAGCTTTTGTATTGCAGAAAGGGTTTGGAGGAAGGGATAAGAAAGTGGTTCAGTGACTGTGAGACAGAACCCTGTTACAGAAACGTTTCACACACTGTACTCATGTGGGGAATCGAACCCGGGTCTTCGGCGCGACGAGCGGACGCTTTAACCACTGGGCTTCCCCACTACTTTGAAAAGATCAGCAAAGTGACGATTCAGTTAGTCGAGTTCTATCACCTTTTTTAAATAAGTGAATGGATTAATAAATCTCTTTGTATTACATATATAAATCTGTATATATTTGAAAATGTTTACATTGTCTTGTGCTGGTAAATCCCCACTAACTTAAAATATGGAATTTGGACTATACTACTGACATTTCTAATAAAGGTGTCTATACCTTTAACAACACACAGAGAAAATGTGATATGCATTTTTACATATACAGTTCTTAGTCGACATGCATATTATTAACTTAATTAGTTAACTTACCTTACGTCTCGGCTTACTACGCGTAGTACTTTTCGATGACCAAAAGAAAAGAATGATGGGTCATTTGCAAGATTTTGACTTGATATGTACTATAAAATTGATAAAATATAAGTTATTTGAAAAGTAACCATAAATAAACATGTAGCAAAGCACTTTGCATGAAATTTGATGTCACATATCGCGCATGGCACGTGCACTTTGTGCACAATGAACGTACTCACTTTTTGCATGCTTTTTGACTCCTGAAGTTCACACACCTGATTTTGAAAATTGAAGAACGGATGAGCATTATCTAGCCTCTAAATGTTCTGGAAAACATGTTAATTTCAACCTTCACTGTGCGTACGTCATGTCACGGCTTACAGAACATCAGCATCTCCGCGCCGTGGGTATGCTGGAGATTGGAATGTCCCAAAATGAAGTGGCCAGACATTTCGGTGTCCATCGAAATTCGATCTCATCGGTATGGAGACGTTTTCAACATAATGGGAACCCGAGAGATTTGCCTCGGACCACAAGACAACCACATTCTGCTGACCCATCTAAAGAATCGATTCCAGAATGCCAGTTTGACTGCTCGGACCATTCCTGGCTTACGTCCAATCAGTCCCAGGGCCCCGTTCCTCAAGGCGATCGTAGCGCTACGACAGTCGTAAGTCTATGTTAAAGTATAGGAGTTACGATCACCTTAGGGTAACGATCGCCTTGAGGAACGGGGCCCTGGACTGTACGGAACCGACTGAGGGAGCACAACATCCGACAACCTGCAATTCGCCCAATTTTGCTCCAACGTCACCGACAGGTACGTCTTGCCTGATACAGGAGGCAAGATTAGGATGGTGTTTTGTTCACTAACGAGTTGAAATTTTATCTGAACATCTCAGATGGCAGGGCATGGGTTAGTCTGTCTCACAGTCCCTGAACCACATTATTTTCCCCACTGCCAAGCCTTCTCTGTAGTGCTAAAGCCCTAAATAAAGCAAGTCTAGGTTTCCTCAGGTTCTGAATCTCTGGTCTCCCTAGGGCTCCTTTTCAATATAAATGGGCTTGTTTGTTACTATCAAAATTATATATATTCAGAGACTAAGCCTTAGTCTAGGCATGGGTGTACAGGCGGGGATGTAAACGACATGCTGACGTGTGCGTTGTTCAACGTCGACAGTTTGGTGGAGCAAGCTTGGTATGGGGAGGCAACACATCTCATAGTCGGACACAACTTGTCATTGTCAATGGCAATCCGACAGGGCTTCAATACAGGGATGAGATCACTGGGCCTCATGTACAGCCGTTCATTCAAGGACAGAGACATATAACGCCACGCTTCAGCAAAATAATGCTCGTCCTTATGTCGCTCGTGTTGTGGTGGGTTTCCCGAGACAGCAGAACATTCCGGTACTCTCCCTGGCCATACTGAATTTGTGAACTGACTTTTAACACCACATCTTTTCAAGGGCGTGCCACGATGCCTGTATCAAATCATACATATTTCGATATTATCCTGTCAACAGTTAAACAAACAGTGATTAAGGAAAACACCACAAATCATGTTATTACCTTTTCCCATTAAAAATGGCATGACATCAAATAATGCACAGTTACTTTATTCCAGTAGTATGTATTAAATATTGTCTTGAATTCAAGTTCTTAGATTTGACTGTTTATCACTGTATGCCACAGCTTTCTAGGGGCGGTGGGGTAGCCTAGTGGTTAAAGCGTCCGCTCGTCCAGCCGAAGACCCGGGTTCGAATCCCCACATTGGCACAATGTGTGAAGCCTATTTCTGGTGTCTCCCGCCGTGATATTCCTGGAATATTGCTAAAAGCGGCGTAAAATCATACTCACTCACTCACTCACAGCTTTCTAATAGACTTGAAAGGAGAATCCATTGCATATAGGAATATGTATGCAAATAAAATCAAACAACGTCACGCACGTCCCTAACTAAAAGTTGTTGGTGTGGAGGAATACATGTACTTTAATCCAATGTATAATCATTCTCATTTAAATTTGTTAATACCATGCCATCTTGTGTTGATTGTGTTACTCCTTTACCGGTCCAATATCTCCGATGGATATCGTAAATTTGATCCATTATCACTTAGTATGACAGTCAAAATGTCCAGTTAGATAAATGAACAAGTCCAAGCCATTAAAAGAATAACTTTAATAAGCTGCCACAGCATTTATACTCATCATGTATGCCATACCATCCAAGCAGGGCTATCAAATATTTCTTTACAGTTGTTAAAATGAAAAAGAGTATTAAATAAATGGTATGCATATGAGTAAAAATAATAGAGCATATTTTCAAGACAATATGGTTTAATTAAAGCGCCTACAGCACCATGATATATGTTTATGTGGATTGGCGTCCTACTCCTATGTTATATGTGAATGGCATCTATGAATTTTCTCTTATGCAATATGTTAATATCGTCTGTGCGTCACATGTCAAAACAGTTCTGTTTAGACTGGCTGTGCGTGGATATGGAAGAGAGTTAGAGGCAAACAGTTTTTCTTAAATTAATTTGTAATTAATATATAGAGTGACATGCAAAACTTGATATATACGTTATATCGATATTAAAATTTTTAAGAATAGCCTAATCCCAGTTTCGTCGAGTGCATTACGTCATGATGTATCCTAGGGGAAGATTTCTTCTTAAAATATGCAAATGTTTTAAATTAAATGTCACTGAATGCGAATACCATGTTTCCACTAATTTATAAACTTAGAAGCAAATATATACCTAGGCTAGTTTATGAAACAACCTTCTTGACAACTAGTAGTCGTATATTAATTCAAACTATTGCTTTATTTATGATGCACTTATGAAGATACACCCACTCTGATGTTGAACACTGAATAGATTTTTACCATGGATTGCGGCCTTCAGTTCCCAATAAAGACTAAATTTTGGGGAAATATAGTAATTTGTTCCTTTCATAGATATAATTTGCTTCCGGAAAGTATCATCCCATGGGAAAGTTATCCATTCAATCGTGCTCTATGTGATCATGAGCTGACAATTGGGTGTGTGAAAAAATGAGAAAAACACCCCTAGACAGGATAGTAAATTCCTTGTTTACTAAAATCCTGGTCGCTGTTACTAATGTTAGATGAAGAATTAACTCGGGTCTTTTCTCAGAGTTCTAAGCCTAGTCTAAGTCATTGCACAAACTACATAATACAGGAAGTAACATGTATAAAACATGACGGTAAAAGATGTTGTGACAAGTAGCTTGTCTATACACGTCTGACCATGTATTATCGTTATGAAGCATACAACATCTACTCAACCAGATAACATTCAGTGTTTACAGTTCCGATAACAAAATTCCTTCGTAGTTTAAGAACAGAAAATGGGGACAGGACGCAGAACGATAATATCGAGTCTTCTGACCTATATGTCCTAATAGTGAGAAAGGTTACAATGACATTTGCTATTATCAAGTGCGTCTGATAAAATTATCAGTAAACAAGAGATAATGTTTGAAGCTAAATATAAAGCTAACATCAGACACAATGGTATTTTTTACTGGTTCATGCGTTCAAGAGATAGAGACACAACCTGAGAAAGATTTTATCTGCAGTTAGAAAATAACATATATGTACAGTCACGGTAGGCTGTGTCATTACAAGGCGATGGAACAGATGTACAACAGATCCAGAGTTGTGACCCTAAGATCGGGGGGTTCAAATACCAGTTTGCCATGATACCGTGCTCGAGGGTCGTGATATAACTGGAATATCGTTCAAGTGGTGTTAACCAGTACTCAATCAATTCATTATTTATTCTGACGCGTATTAACTACCCGCATGGGAATATTGAAGTAGCAATAAACCTTTCTGAAAAATTGAATAATAATATTTTGGTGAAGCCTAACTAGTAGTAGAGTATGTATTACTTTTGTTACTGAACTTTATTTACTCAGGATGCAAACTGCTGCATAAGAGGTACATAAACAATATTTACATTTACAAACGATATGCTAGAAGCAACGTACATCGACCAAGTTACAAGTTATCTATAATCTAAGAAAGTACCTTTGATACCATATATTTCTTTTAAGGATTCTATTGACAATAATCAAGTTTCATTACAAATGTCCCTAATATTTATAATCCCTTTATCTGCCAAGTTCTTTATGAAGTTTAATGAATTTTAAAATTATGATTAAACCATAATGGTTGGGATAGAATTTCATTAATGTTATTTGGGTCAATATAATGTTGTTTGTAGAATAGTTGCCATGCTTTTAGCACATCACGCCAAAAAGGATTTTCAATCTTAATGTAAGTTTCAGAATTTGCTCCAAAAATAGATATGTCTTTGAAAAGTATATTCAACTATATTGCATGGATTATCCTTATCACCTCTTTTGAAATACCGTCTTAAAGTAGAAAATTTCAAAACGTCTATAAATGTTTTTGTATTAATCATTTTCAAACCTCCTTCTTCATAGTTGTTTTTAATTACATTCCTTTTTATTTTATCATTCTTGTCATTCAAAATAAATTTGAAAAACATTTTTTCAAGGGACGTGATAAGTTCTACTGGTGGGTTGGGCAAGGAATTGAAAATATGGACCAATTTGGAGATTGCTAGAGTTTTTATTACAGTTATTTTACCAATAAGTGTTAAATTTCTTTTTCTTCAAGATGCTAAGAGTCTAGCTATTAATTTCCTCCAGTCAGTCTCTTTCTGGTGTTGATTACCCATAAGTCTTCAAGATCTGGTGTACATTTAATACCTAGTAGATCAAATTCACTTATCACCCATTCAATTTTCAGAACATTATATATTTTATCCATAGATTTGGCTTTTGATCCAATCCAGATTGCTTTTGATTTACCTAAAAGAAAAAATTAAAGTCTGACATTTTGTAAAATGTATTAATTGTGTCAATAGTAGAGTACAAACTCTCTTCAGTTCCATCAAGAAATAGTTCAGTATCATCAGCATATTGATCCAGTGTATATTCATTATCATTGATAACAATACCTTTGATGTTTTCATTATTTCTTGTCATGCAACCAAGAATCTCAGCTACAAAAAGGAAAAGATATGGACATAGTGGGTCTCCTTGTCTACATCCCCTTTTACTTGCAAAGAAGTCAGATTACCATGTTGGATAACACAAGATGTTGTTTCATAAGTTAATATATTTTTCCATCTTATCATTTCAGGGCCAAATTCAAATTTATGTAAAATCAGGTTGATAAAATCTTTTGAAACAGTGTCAAACGCTTTTTCAAAATCAATCAGAATCAGCAAACCAGGAATGTTTCGTTTCTTTGTTTCAAACATTATATCATATAACAATCTTGTATTTTCACTAATAGTCCTACCCGGTATAAAACCAGTTTGGTTAGAGTGAATAAATTCATCTAAAGTAGTTTTTAATCTATGTGCAATGCAGGAGCTGATAATTTATAAATAGCATTAAGTAAAGAGATTGGCCTCCATTTTTTAAGTAATGTTCTATCTTTTTTGGATTTTGGAATACAGGTGATAACACCCCTTTTCATATTCAAAGATATTTCATGTTTTGTTGATACATCTTAATAAATCTATAAATCCATATTTTTAATTCTTTCCAATTCTTTTATAAAGAAATCAATAGCAAATCCATCAATCCCTGGGCTCTTATTATACTTCATCCTGTAAACAGCATGGTTAATTTCATCCAAACTGATTTCTCTTTCAAGATAGTGTCTTAGTGTTTTGTTTAAAGTTGGAGTTTTAATATCCTTTAAACAGTCTTCTTCCTTGTATTGTTCCTGAGAAGCATAGAGATTTTTATACTATAGTTTTACTTCATTCAGTATTGATTTGCTTTCATTCATATCATTAGTTATTAACTTCTTTATTGATGTTTTTGAGAAATTCCTATTTTCCTGATGGCAGAAATATTTTGAAGGTTTATCTCCTTCTTCATACCAAAGAATTCGGTTTCGAATTTGTATTCCTCTCATTTCCTCCCTTTTAATTTATTCCATTTCTTTCTTATAGTTTGATAGTTCACTCAAAAGTTCTTCATCAATGTTTCGAAAGCTTTTTCGAATAGTATCTTCGACCTGTTTTATTTTTAATTCTAGTTCTTCTGTATTTTTTACTTTCGTTTTCTTTGTGTAGGATGAAAAAGATATGGTCTTTCCTCGAATTTTCATTAATAAAGTTTCCAGAAATAAGGAGTCAGAAAAATACAATAATACTTGTGAATATATAAGATAATAAATATTGAAATTACGCAGTGCAACAGTTTGCAACCAAAGCTGCTGTCTGTCTTTCATCGGGAGGCACTATATGTAACTGCCATGACTTTACTTTAAATTAGTCAATGTAAATAGGAAGGTAGCGGTAAACCATCCATAGCTATATATACACATTTTCAACGTATACTTCTATCTTGTAATTTAACCTTCCGAACTGAGTCGCACATTTCACAAAAATAAACACGTAGAATGAACGACCATGTCTCAATACAAAATCTGTAACATTTAAACATAACTTGTCCGTCCATGGTTTCCCAGAGACGAGTGACTCTTTCATCGTCTATCTCGATCGATTGACACAGAGACGATCCCGCTGGCTGCCTGGCTCACATACACTCGTTGATATTGGCAGATCGGTCTAATGTCATGTTGGCTGTCATATCCTAAGACATCTGATGGAACTCCGGATAACCCCCCGTATAATGTCACCTTGGAGCAGCCGACTTCAGACACCTGGTAGGCTACGGGAGATATATGTCTATGTACATGGAATTATTGTGTTTCACTTTTACTTGTTTCATCCAACCATGCAAACTTGGTATAATCCAAGTTTAGAAGTGATAAAAAAATATTCATGAGAGGTTGAGATGGTTGACATGTCAGAAAGTCTGACGGCAACTCAACTGGACGTTTGTCTTTCAAGCTCTGCCAAATCTTTTTGTGGGCAGGTCAGAACGGGAAGTATGACATCCAGACCGTCACACTGGTGAGCGATAGCAACAAGCTTCTCTAGTCGTTTGGTAGCAGTCTCTTTGCCCAACAGGACTACCAAACATTTGCATTTACTCATAGCATTAATTTCTGCGGTGAGTTCAATTTCATAACCTAAAGCGTTATCATCATTCCGGGTAACAGACAAGCTGCAAGTTTCCCTGAACCATGACTGGATTGTGTCTGCCTCAGCATCTGTCTGTTTGGGGTCATCCAGCACGAAGACATCCCAGGTTCTATCATCTTCACTGGACGTGCACCCATGTTTGTGAATGAAAGCACTCTGAAAACACGACCGTATAGAGTCTTTGTTGGAAGGAGTGGGCTCGGAGCCGAGTAGGTGCTTGGCAATCCCAAGATATACTTGGTAAACTAAATCTTGTTCGTTGTCGGCCATCTGTCGTCCTTCTTGTGTACACAACATAAGGTTAAGGCATGACTGGGCATTTTCAAAATCTCTTGAAAACATGTATTCTTTAATGACTTGAGAAAGCAAAGAAGGATCGTCAGGATTCACGAGTAGCAGTTGTTCGTAGTACTCTATGGATTCTCTGTGGGCACCGACTAGTGCACACAGACTTGCTACTTCCTTGACACCATCGAGCTTGTTTGGTTCGTTTAGAAGCTGTTTTAGTGTGGGCAGCGCTTCCCATGAAGTTAAAGCATCCTTTCCCATTGTTGGGCTTTGAGCAACCATAAAGGTTGCTTGTTCTATGGATCGTCTCATCATCATCGTGCCGTCCTTTCTGAAGCTCTGTTTCTGCACATCACTATACTGACTCCCTTCGATCTTCTCAAACAGACAGAAGCCTAACTGTTCATATGCGACACTCTTGTGAAAAGGTGAAGCACTCATATCAGCGATGATCTTCCGAAACTGCTCCTCTGCATTTTCCACCTTATCAAGTCGCCTATAGGTTAATCCTAAGTTAAACATGGCGTGGTGATTGCATTCCTTGGTCATATCAATTGATTTTTGAAGATAATGCACAGCCTTGATCAGATATTCGTGATTAGGGTGTTTTACTACCTGCTTTGGAGAGTTAAGCATTTTCCTAAGCGTCTGATGAGACCTGCCTCCTCGCAGCTGGTTTTGTATTGAGAGTTTCGCAAACTCGGGAGCCAGAACACTTTCTGACATGAGATGTTGATCACTGCTCGCCTGCATCTTTGGGACAGATTCTGCAGCCTCTGTATTTAGTGATGTCTCAGCAGCCGGTGCCCTCTGTGGTTCTGCTATGCTACCACCGCGGGAGGCATAGTTATCTCTGTATGGCATTTCAGAGCCTCCTGCGTCATTCCCAGGCTGTCTATGTCCACGATGGCTCCCCCAGACACCATGATCGCGTTCACGACCGCGTCTACGTCCACGCCCACGTCCACGTCCACCGGCATCACCAGAGCTTTGCTCTGTCATTTTGATTAATATCTTCGCTAGATTATCACAAATATCTGGACTTGGTCTGATAGCATATGCCCGCTCAAGTAACTTATAACATTCCATTAAAGTGTTAGGATATTGATCGTATGGTCTTTCAAAAAGTAGAAGTTTGCCACATCTTCCAAGAACGAACTCATCTTGTAGAGACTCCTTGTTGACTATTTCAAGGGCTATATCAAAATATCGCGCTGCGGTCAGTGATGGACGTTCTAATTTCACTTTGTCAGCAATCTGCCGAGTTAAAGGGTAAGCTGGCCTTTTCAGCAAGTGGTACAGACAACCCAGCTCCACAAACGCTTTTGCTATCAGACGTTGCTTCTTGCAGCGGTTAGTAATTTCAGAAAGATATCGTGCTGCTCTTTCGCAAAACTCTTTAACCCTTTCCGATGTCATGCCCTTAATACATTTCGGCATCCCTAAGCATCTCCTACAAGTCAATGCACACCCGAATTTCCACAGGTACTGTTCAGGAAATTCTTTAATGGCATTTTCATAAAGATCAATGGCTTTGACATGCAGGTGAGGGCCAATGCGAGACATGCAGTATGCCTGCTCGGCTGTGGCAACCACGACTAACTGTTTGTAGTCATCTCTAGTCCTCAGTTTATGCAGCTCTTCGACAGCTGCTCGTGACTCACTCATACCCAGTCGCCATTTTCATCACGGCTTTGTTAACTAATGCTGTTATATTGGTCGGGTCATTTTCACAAACTTTAGAATTTATTTCCAGAGCTTTCTGTTTTTCACGAGTGGTGAAATGCAGCAATGACAAAAAATTGTTTCGTCTGATTTCTTCTTCTTCATAGCCACATGGCTGCAATCCTTCTGACTCGATTCGTTCCAGTATGCTGACACGTCTTTCATGCTTGATGTTGACGATGTGGTCGAGTTGGAGAGAGTGGGGGACGTCACTCAGACCACGCTTCAGTCTCTGCTGAGGATCAAATGGCCAAGCCATATCCATGGTATATTCCGTTCCTTTAAACAAAAAGAAATACACTTCAAACACCACAAAGATTGATATACAAGAAAATATGATAATTAGTATATGGAGGTTTGACACAGTTTTACAAGGCGGTAGTCAGTCCAAAGTAGTAACTGCACCACGCGTTGTGGTGTAATTTGTGATGTACGTCACTTACTATGCCATTGGTGACCTGGTTGAAACAGAGTTTTTCGTTGTTAAATGTCACAAACAGCAACACGCAAGCTGTATCCCAGCTGTCCCCAAATCCAGTGGTTGACATCACGAGCATCGATCTGGGCAGTGGGGATACAATGACAGGTGTCAGCCAAAAATGCAAGTCATTGAACCTAACCACACGATCCCTTTAAACTCATCTTACGACAAGCATGGGATGCTGAAGATCACATTGTAACACGGAACTTCACGGGTGATTTAATTAAAGCACATAACCCATTATAGACAAATACATCTAGTCACAACAAATGAATTACTTGTTCTTCGTATCTGCGTGTCTTTCATTCCTTAATGTCCAAATTATTTATAATATACCGACCTAAAAAAAGAAACTTCACATTTTGAGAAAATGAATCATATTGAAAATGTGTTGTACAAGGTAGTTAATATGGGCAAATGCCATTATACCCACGTCTAACCTGACGCATACGCCCATTGCACTCGAGGACAACGCTGCATGCAGCACACCCTTTGGTGAAAACGAGAACCTGCACGTGATCAGGCAAAATATCTTAACCATCCTTGATAAACTATTCGCACGCCACGCCTTACAACTGTTAAAAGTGAACGTGCAATTGGCATGCTCGATCCTGGTCAGTCTAATATGGCTGTTGCACGTGTCATGAGATGCATAACAAATCACACCATGAGGGTATGTGCCCACCACACGGGTACAACAACTCGTCGCCACGGTTCGGGACCGCCTCCTGTGACGTCACATGCCGAGGACAATCACATTCGGCTACGCCATTTGCATAATCGTTTTACGATTGCAACGTCAACCAGTAACACTCTGTTTAGGAGTCGCGTAACTGTCCAGACCATACGAAACCGCTTGCCCATCTTCGTGGCGGACTTCCTTATGTTGGGCCGATTCTGGGACCGGTAAACCGTAAAGAACGTCTACGCTGGGCACAATTGCACCTGCGAAATGCTGGTATTGACGTCCGGACTGGCCATCGAGATCACAGGACCTCAACCCAGTCGAACACATATGGGATGCTTTTGGATGCTCTTGGAAGAAGTCTTCGTGCCTTGAGATGTCAACCCCTAAACGTTCAAGAGCTTGGCGCCACTTTGATACAGCCTAATGATGTGTTCATGGGTGTCAATGAGACAACATTGCCTTCTTCTGTGAATGCGAGAAGGGGACATAAGTGGTACTGAACAAGTTCCAATACCGATGGCTTCTCCCTGACTGTGGAGGGTGCATCATGCTCACCTTAATGCCTTATCCTGTTTCAGTGTTCACTTATTACGTCCTTAAACCAGATTTATCCACTAGCAACACACTAAGTTCTATATGGGTATGCTCAGGACGAAAAGTAACACATGTCAAGTGTCGTTTTTTGTTTAGTATAGGACATATTCTGTAACTAGATATTACCAGTTTGACTTGAAAGTCCCTGTAGGTTTGGTGAGGTGAGGTTTGGTGAGGTGAGGTTTGGTGAGGTGAGGTTTGGTGAGGTGAGGTGAGTCCATCATTAACACAAAGTCACTCTCTAAAGCAAGTTTCCATATACACACTGTCAGTTTGAAACGTCGATAAACATCAGATTCTGCAATATTCTCTACCACCACTTTATTCTGTGAAAATTTAGGAGGTGAAACACATGGCACGAATTCGTAGTTTTGCGTTGGAAAAGTATACCACGTGAAACAGGTTCAAGCTTAGACTAACGCCTAGTCTCTGAATGTATATAATTTTGATAGAAACAAACAATTCCTTTTAAATTGAAAAGGAGTCCCAGTTAGGAAGAAATCTAGATTCGCTTCATTTAGGGCTTTAGCATTGAAGAAGGGGCTGGGCAGAAGAGAAAATAATGCGGTTCAGGGTCTGATTATTTCAAGCTGAAACTATATAAAAACATTCAACGTAATTGAATGCCTTCATGTACACATTACTAACGCATTTGATAATGTGATTTTTTGAAACAAGTCAAAATACCTAATAACATGCAAAGGCAGGGCAACCAATTGGTTTCAGTTGTTCAAAGGTGTTACACAGGGATGCCCCTTAAGTCCTTATATTTTTATCATTTGCTCAGAAATCATAAATATGAAAATCAGGAAAAAATTAGATATTCAAGGGATTGGAATTGGGGAGAAAGAAGTGATTTATTTTGCAGATGATACCAACTTGACATTAAAAAATATACAATCAGCAGCGCAAGCTGTTGAATTTTACAACAGATCTGAAAAAATAACAGGCCTTAAGATAAATGTAAAGAAAAGTAATGTTATGCCTATACAGAACCGTCCAATATCGTGTGGTATAAAAGGGTTAGACATTGTTTATAGTAGCATTAAACGTTTAGGTATCCAATTGTTTAGATATAATGATTCTTTAGCAATAGAAAATCTCAAACCCCAAATTTTGAAAATACGAAAACGATTCTAAATTTGGCCATCAAGAAATTAATCACTTTTTGGAAGAATATTGCTTTCTAAAGGGAAAGATTGTTCAAGGCTCATATACCAAAGCAGTATGATGCAGGTTCCAGCAGGTCTGTGTAAAGAAATCAATGTGGAATTGTTTAGATTTATCTGGAATTATAAGAATGAAAAAGTGAAAAGAACAACAATGCTAAATGTAAAAGAACTAGGGGGAGTTTCAGCTTTGGATTTTACCAGTATGAGTAAAGCACTCTGTTTGGCATGGAAACCAATATATTATTCCTCTTATGGAAGCTGGAAATTGTTTTTAGATAAAGGTTTGAAAACTGTAGGAGGGTTATCTTTTGTTCTAAAATGTAATTATGACCTAAGAAAATTGCATATTGCTGTACCATCATTTTATAGATGTATGTTAAATGTAAAGGGTTGGAGAGAAACTGTTAAGATTGATGAAGATATTTAATCAAATAATTTGGAATAATAAATTAGACATTTTAAATAAGAAGTCTGTGTATAATGATAAATGGGTAAAAACTGGCATTGTATATGTTAGAGATTTGCTTGATGAAAGTGGACAGTCAAGAACCAGTTACAAGAGATATAAAAATTGAATATTAACAGTAGATATTTTTAAAATATCAAAAGAGCTGTTCAAAGGGCAATAGGGAGCAATATGTTTTATAAAAATAGTCCAAAAATTCAGTTTTTGTTAAACACACCACCTAAGTTACAGGGAAATATTATGAATTATAAGATTAAGTCTAGGTACTTTTATTCAGTGATTGTGGATAACAAAGTCACTTTACCATATAAATTGAATGATTCATCACATGCTAGCAAAATGTATGGTCTTTTTACAACCCTTCCGTTATCCTACAAGTTAAAAGAATTACAATTCAAGATTATACACAATATTGTGCCATGTAAGAAATGGTTGTTAAAACTTCACTTATGTGAATCACCAGAATGCGATGACTGTAAAACTTTGGAGGTCGTTAAGACCATTCTTCAGGTCACAACAGACGTTTCCCATATTTTCTATAATTGTAAAAAATGTTACTTCAATGATTAATGATTATGTAAAGTTTCTTTCTAAGTATTCACAGCAACAATTTTCTGTAGAATCCCTCTTGTACGGTTCAACAGATCACTTTGACCCAATATTTGAGTTTTTAAATATGCATTTAAAATACTTTACATATAAGTCTCACTATACCGATATCAAAGTTTCTATGAAGCTTTTCATTATACATTTGAAATATGCTCTGGAAATGTATAAATATTCAAAGGTAAAGTTTATGTATTTAAAAGCACCCATGTTAGATTTACAATAGGAATTATATAGGTGAATATTTGCGTTTTTAAATATGCATTTAAAATACTTTATATATAAGTCTCACTATACCTATATCAAAGTTTATGCTCTGGAAATATATAAATATATATAGGTAAAGTTTATGTATGTAGAAGCACTCATGTTAGATTTACAGTAGAAATCATAATTGGTAAAAGGTTAAGGCTATAAACCAGTAGTCCCTGACCACGTGGATTTGTATGGTTTATGTTAAAAAGGATGAAAAAATAAAATAAAAATAATTTTTAAAAAAGAAAAAAAAATAATAATAATAGAAAAAATGCACGCCCGGTACAACACAGTGGAAACACAGTCAAACGATTTTGGCTTCAAATCAATATTTTTTGAATAAATTACACTTTCATAAATATACTCTCCCAAAAAAGAAACGCATATAGGAATTTCAACTGTATTTTTATGTTTATTTTGAAACATCTTGTAGGCTTTATGAGTCAATAAAATATAGCGAAATTGCACACTGGGAATGCAGAGTTATCCGTCTTTGGCACCAACTCGAGGAAAGTCAGTTTGAGTGTTACATGGAGACGTGTGTCAATACCTCGTGTGACCACCGTGCGCATCCAGAACTGCACGGCATCGCCTCGGCATCGAACGAATAAGTCTCAGAATCTCGTGTTGCCCAATCGCAGCCCACTCTGCCTGTAGTGCCTGTGCGAGTTTCTGAAGTGTCTGGGGCTGAGGGTTACGGCGTCGCACCCGTCTGTCCAGGGCATCCCACAGATGTTCGATCGGGTTTAAGTCCGGTGATCTTGAGGGCCTGGGGAGCACATTGATGTTGTGGTTCTGGAGGAAGTCTCTAGTGTGACGTGCTGTGTGGGGCCTGGCATTGTCCTGTTGAAACAACTCCCTCTGGCGATCAATGATTGGAAGGAGGTGTGGGCGTAGGATTTCGTCACAGTACCGTTGAGCTTTCAGGTTGCCCTGGATCATCACCAAATAACTTTTCCTACGGCAGGTGATCACTCCCCACATCATAACACTGCCCCGGCCGGATCTGTCCACCTG